GAGGGGTCGCTATGAGTCAGGGCCGGCTCAACCGTGCATAACAACAACAACAACAAATGGCTAATGATCATGAGCATTTCTTCATATGTTTGTTGGCCACCTGAATATCCTTCTTAGTGAAGTGTCTATTCCTATCTTCTGCCCATTTTTCAATTGGATTATTTGTCTGTTTGTTATTGAGGTGTTGGAGTTTTCTATAAATTCTAGAGATAAGTCCCTTGTCAGATATATCATTGCCAAATATTTTTTCCTAATCTGTAGGTTCTCTTTTGACTCTTGGAGAAGTCTTTGGAAGCACATAAAAATTTAATTTTGAGAAGGTCCCATTTATCTAGTTTCTCTTCTACTGTTTGTGCATTTTGAGTTATGCTTGATAGTCTATTTATGCCATGTGTTAGGGCCCCTAAATTTGCCCCTAGTTTTTCCTTGAGGAACTTTACAGTTTTAGGTTTCACATTTAAGTTTTTGATCCATCTGGAGTTAGTTTTTATGTATGGTGTGAGGTATAGATCTTGTTTCATTTTTCTGCTAATGGATATCCAGTTTTGCCAGTACCATTTATTAAAAAACAAACATTCTCTTCCCCGTTTAATGGACTTAGGCCTTTTGTCAAAGATCAGCTGACCATAGCTCGATGATCTATTTCTGGGTTCTCAATTCTATTCCATTGATCTATGTGTCTGTCATTATACCAATACCAGGCAATTTTGACTAGTGTCAAAATGCAATGTATATGCAAAAGGTTTCATCTTTGTTGTCTGTACCTCCCATGTGCCTCTCTATGTCTTCCTCTTCCTCATTGCCACCTTGTTGATCACTTGCATTTGGTACATTGCCCTTGTGTTCACCCAAATCGATACTTCTCTCTCTCTAACAGTGTTCCCTGTTAATAGGCTGTATAGTAGGTTTTGAGATACAGCTTTGTGAGATCTCCTACTTTGTTGTTCTTCTTCAATGTTGTTGTTGTTGTTGTTATTTGCCATCAAGTCGGCCCCGACTCATAGCGACCCCTCCTTGGGTTTCTGAGGCAGTATCACTATGGAAGTAGGATTGCCCGACCTTCCTTCATAGTGCTTTGCTTATCCAGGGTCTCTTTCCTTTTCATATAAAGTTAGTGGTTGGTTTTTCCATATCCTTAAAAAATGTTGATGGGATCTAGATTGGGATTGCATTGAATGTATAGATTGCTTTGGGTAGAATTAACATTTTCACAATGTTCAATCTTCCTATCCATGGGCCTGGGATGTTCTTCCATTTATG